TCATTTGGGGGCCAAGGTATTGGAGCTTCGTTTCACTTTGAATATCTCAAAGCACCTGCATCATGTGACATGTTAATTTGCTGTTCAGCCTGTATCTATAAGTCTGAAATCTCGCTTCCTTCCAGGCACTTCGCTTTCCTGTACTTTGCCCGAAAAGAACGATATCTACTTGTAATTGTGACCATGGTTTGATTACACAAGAAGGAGCATTTAAGCGTTTGGATTTATTTCTACTTCATAGACACGACAAGGATCAGAGACGTCTTGTTCACCAATTTACTCAACCTCGTTCAGAAGGAGGAACGTCGAAACGACACTGGTCATTCTGGAACATGTTGTTAACTTTCTGAACTATTTATTCCATGCTGTGTTCATTTATGTATTGTTACAGATTTACCTTTATATTGCATGTTTTCTTGGCTTCAAAAGCACTGGCCCTTTGATTCTTTCATTTAGTTCACCGTTTTTCATTTGCTTTCCTTAGCAATACTTAGAATCATAGAATCATAGAATGTTAGAGCTGGCAGGTCATCTAATCCAGCCCCCTGCACTCTGCAGGAGCATAGCCGAAAGACAGCCCTACAACATACCCGAAAGATGGCCGTCCAGCCTCCACTTAAAAACGTCCAGCGAAGGAGCATCCACCACCTCCCGAGGCAGACTGTTCCACTCCTCAACCACTCCTGATATTTAGCCGGTAACGACTCCCTTGTAATTTCCACCCATTAGATCTAGTCTTGCAATCCGGAGCAAGAGAGAAGAGATCCGCTCCACCTTCTACATGACAGCCCTTCAGATACTTGAAGACTGCAATCATGTCCCCTCCTCTAAGCCCTCTCTTTCCCAGGCTAAACAGACCCAGCTCTTTCAGCCTTTCCCCGTAAGACTTGGATTCCAACCCTCCCATCCTGGTTGCCCTCTTCTGGACACGCTCGAGCTTGTCAACATCCTTCCTAAAATGTGGTTGCCCAAAACTGGACACAGGACTCCAGGTGGGGCCTGACCGTAGCAGAACAGAGCGGAACTCCCACCTCCCGTGATATTTTGTCCCGTGTCCCCCCCCCCCCTTTTCAAGCTGTCTCTTCCTGTGGGCCCCCCCCTCCATCCTCTACCTCCAGGCTCTGCAGCTGCTCCTTCAGCAGCCTCTTCTCCTCCTGCTCCGTCTGCCACTTCAGCTCCACCTCCGACAGCAGCTGCTGGGCCTGGGAGGCGCCGCTCTCGGATGCCCGGGGCTCCGGACCCTCTTGCCCTGCGGGGGGGGCTTCTGCGGAGGTGTCCCCCCTCGCGGGCCCTCGGCTGTCCGCCTGCTGGGCCACCTCCTTCTCGTAGCGTTCCTGTAGAGCTGAGAGACGGGAGTCAGCCTGCTTCCTGCCCTCTCCAGAGCCACCCCCGATCCCCCGCAGAACCGCCAGAGCCCCATCCCTGCTTCCCGGGACCTTCCATCGCCCTGCGGGGAGAGCTTTAAAATCCACGCGTTCGTAACTCTGACAGCTCAGTTTGCCCTTTCCCCCGGCCGTTGGGCAATGTTCCCTCTAAGCTGTGGAGCCTTGTGAGCAAAAATTCTACTTGGTGAGCTGCCGGCGTTAAAGTTGTGAGCGAGCCATTTGGCTGCTGCATAAATCGGTTTGCTCTGGAGCCCTCCTTCCTTAGAGGGAACACGGCCGTCGAGTCAAGCTGACTGCTGGTAACCCCTAGTGGGGCTTGAAGGCGAGGGGACGTTCAGGAGCGGCTTGCCGTTGCCCGCCTCCGCGTCCCGACCCTGGTATTCCTTGGAGGTCTCCCATCCAAATACTAGCCAGGGCTGGCCCCGCTTCGCTTCCGAGATCTGACAAGATCGGGCTTGCCTCGGCTCTCCAGGACAGGGCTACTCTGCCCTCTTGAGTTGCCTTACACGCTGGAAAAACAAGCATCCAGGAGCACCTTAAAGACTTAACAAGATTTGTGGCAGGGGATGAGCTTTCGTGCGTCTCTCGGCTCACTTCTTCAGATAAAGAGAGAATCTGAGTCCATCCATCCTATATCTTGGAGAGTGATTTCAGATGCCAAATGACAACAGCAGGGAAATGACCAATAGCAGGCATGACTGGATTAGATGTCATGTGCCGAGGGGTAGTAGGCGTGGAGAAATCGGCAGTGGTAATGAGACAGGAAACCTAGGTCTTGATTCAGTCCAGGAGGATGCATCCCCCCCGTTTTAACCTCCCAGGACATTCAGTTGCTGGCCTAAGAGCAGCAGGTCTCTTACAAAGGAATTTCAAAGGGAGATTAGAAAGAGCGACTGCTGAATTGCAACTGATAATGAAGCTCTAGGCAATGCACGCATGAAAGCATGTGACTGGCAAGTGGCCCAAGGTTAACAAATGAGCTTACATGGCATGAGTGGGGAATCGAACCTGAGTCCCCCAAAAATTTGTCCTACAATCATAATAACCCCGCCCTTCACTACCTGAAGGAGTCTCAGAGTGGCTTACAAT